CCAGCCCCGCCCCATCCCTGCTGTGAGCTGGCTTGGTTCTCTGAGCCTTTATTCCCACAACCTCTCTCTCCTTTGCCTCTTCTTTTTAGACTCCCCTCCATTCCCTAAACCCATGTCCTAGGTCGTGGGAGATGGCTCACTCCATCTATGGAGGATGGTGGACCATTTGTCTCATTGGCTTCCCTCTCTTGAGCCTTTAATTCTCTAAATCAGTAGTAATTCTTAAACTACAGTAGGGATCCTAGATGTCTTTGAGAAGCTGATGTGGGCTATGGGCCCTCTCCCTCCAAAAAACACATACACTCTTAAAAACAGCATTTGGCATAGAAGTTCAAATGCACTCCAATTAGGAACTCCTCCTCTAAAGGGTCTCTCCTCTCCTTCTCCCCTCCCCTCTAGATTTCTGACTGTTGTTGGCTCCCAAGTCAATCTACCTGGTCTCTTTTCACAATCAGAAGTGTCCCCCTACCATATTATTACCAATACCCTTATTGTTATTAACAGCAGCTACAAGATTTTCACAACACTTTTCATGCATCAACTGATTTCATGCTCTCAACAACCCCAAGAGGAAGGAACTATTATTGTCCCATTTTCACAGATGATAGAACTGCATGGTTATGTTTTGCCAACACCACGCAGTTCTAAGTCCAGGGTTTCTTTCCTCTGCACCATGGTGTGTTGCCTATTGTAAATGGCTGTTTTCTTTGATCTTCCTCATTTCCATTGCCTGAAATCCACCCATAGCCCGTGGCGTGTTCCCCATTAGTCTTAACTGCTGGCTTTTTTTTCCACCTCCCTCCTCTCTATCACCTGAAATGCACTATCTTCATCACCTCCCCCACTTCTCTGAAGCTCCCTCTTTATCCCCCATCCATGCCTTCAACTGACCACAAGTGGCTTCTTTGCAGTTGCTTGAGCACGTGTGAACTATGTAAGGGTTTCGTTTCCCCTTCCACACTCAGCCCAGCTGTGCCAGCCTCTGTGATCCTTACTGGCATTAGGCCCCTTCTTACAGAGTCCTTGGCACTTCTGGGACTGCCATACTTATAATCCAGGTAAGAGGAAGGAAGGGGACACCCAGTAGAGCACCTGCTTTGGGCAAGGCCTCATGCATGATGTGGGAGCGCAGAATCCAACCTTTAAAGGCTCCAACTTCCAGGTTCGTTCAGGTATCCTACTGATGGGCACTGGGAGGCTCTAAGACACTTGGTCTGAATCCATCAACTGCCTGTCTGAGGACTGACTGAGGGCTCCTCGGCATCTTGGCTAACCTTCAGCTGCCCTCGGAGCCAGCAAGACTACTGCTCAGACCCTACACGAGAAACACCTGGCTACTGGTTAACCTCTTCCTCCTCAGCTCAAATCTCAGACCAGCCCGATAATTTTAGTTAGGTTAATCACAATCACCCTTTTGTTTTTGGTGTGACAAAGTAGTAGATTATCCCAAAAGCAGTAACTAAAACTGTTTATCAAAGTGTAACATACATACAGAAAAGTGCATGTATCAAAAGTATGCAGTTTGATAAATTTTCACCAACTGAATATATCTGTAGAACCTGCACCCAATTAAGAAACAGAATTTGCCAGCACCCTGAAAGCTCCCATCCCCCACCCTGTGTGCTTTCTTCCTGTCATTACCGCCAACATAACCCCTATCATGATGACTTCTAACAGCACAGATTGGGTTTGCCTGGTTTTGTCCCAGAAAAACAACTTTAAGAGAAACAGACCATCCTTTTGTCTACCCTCTAGGCAACACATTTTGACTGATTGATTCAATTAGTCATTGACTAGATGTTGACTGTGTATAAAATGGATCAAAAATATGAATTAGCAGGGCTGGGCCAAGACAGAGGGAAAGGGGGTGGGAGGGGATAAGTTGGGAGTTTGAGATGTGCAGATACTAACTACTATATATAAAATAGATGTACAACAAGTTTCTTCTGTATAGCACAGGGAACTATATTCAATAGCCTGTAGTGACCTACAATGAAAAAGAATATGAAAACGAATATATGTAGGTATATGTATGACTGAAACATTATGCTGTACATCAGAAATTGACACAGCATTGTAAACTGACTATACTTCAACAAAGGAAAAAAAATACGAATGAAACCAAGGAACTGTGGCCTCAAAGGGGCTTTGGCTATAAACTGACCCTCCATTGGGCCTACAGAATTCTAAAGTGTGTTCTTAATAAAAAGCCAGAATGTGCATGTACACCTGATTACTTCCTCTAAAGTTCGAGTTCTCATGTTACTGCTGCTTTTTGCTTTCTCTCTTCTTTATTTGATTTTATTTGTTTAGTTCTGAAGGAGAGAAATTAGCGACTTTGGGGAGGACCCTCTCCGTTCCCCTAGAACTCCAGCCTCGAACACTCTTAGAAGGAGAAATCATCATCTCATAAGGCTGCTTGTTGCATTTTCCAGGGAGATCTGGCAAGTTAGCTTTAAGCTGTTAAAAACATAGACACACACACACACACACACACACACACACACGCGCGAAACCCCCAAAGCTTTCTTGTTTGAGCTCAAATATGCTACCATTTTTGCTTACTGATTCTAGCCCTGCCCTCTGCAGCCTCTCAGAATGAATTAGTCAGTTCAATAACCAGATTTTGGGTGTTTCCTGAGCGCAGGCTCAGAGGCACACGAGGTGGGTTTCCTGAACCCTAAATTCTTCCCGTGGGGATCTGGGGATTGACTGACTCAAGGATATGGCTAAACCAGTATTTGCTAAAGAACATTCCATTGGACACTAATCCCTAGAAATGCTTTACAAAAAGAGAGCTCTGAGCTCAAAGGAACTGGGCAAAGGCTCCTGGCTCTCTGGTCTGTTTCTAGTATCACATCTTACATTAGCACAGATAAGACTCTGGGAGATCTGGAAGCGTAAAAACTGTTACACTTTGTCAGTGTTTTGAAGACTTATGTGACTTAGAATCCCTTTTTCTATAGGATGCCTATGAGTATTTCTCAGAATTAGTGTCCCCAGAACAGGACACAGGCCATGTCGCTTTAAGCATCCTCCAAAACGGCACTAGCGCACGGTGATACCAAATACTTGAAATGCAGCTGGTCCAAATCAAGATGTGCTGTGAGCGTAAAACACGCGCCAGATTTCAAAGTCCTAGTACAAGAAGAAGATCAAATATTAATAGCTTTTACATGGATTATATGTAGAAATAATACTATTTTTGAAATAATGAGTTAAAAGGTCTTGTTAAAATTAACTTCATCTATTTCTTTTTACATTTTAAAAATGTGACTTTTAGAAAATGGAGAGTTATGCATGTGGCAGGCATCATATGTCCATTTGAGGGTGCTGCTCCAACAGTTCGTGATGCTATGAAAGCTTTGCTGGCTGATACAGGGGGAATGTGAGAGGGAGGGGGTGGTAGCCTCATGGAGAAAGAACAGAGGAACTGTGGGAATTCACTGAAGGGACAGCTCACAAAGCTTCTAGAGAGGCCGGCCAGGAAGTGGTGACTAAACTGAGACATGAAAGACGAGAAGAAGTGAGGCAGGGGAAGGCAGAGACATTATCATGGGCCATGGCCTGGAAGTGAAAGAGGAACTGTGAGTATTCCAGGATGTCCGAGGCGTGGGGGGCAGAGGAGAGGTAGTGACCCAGCATGAGACCAGAGAGAACAGCAAAGGCCGAGGTTTGGGGGTCCTGGTCAGCCTTAGAAAGGGGCATCCTTTGAGGGCATTGAGACACCACTGAAATGTTTTCAGTTAGGTGAGACCAGGCAGGTTTGAATTTTTAGAAAGATTACCCTGAGATTTGGATGGGGGAGTAGATGGGTGTAGGGATAAAACAGAGGGAGAATGGGTATTCAGAAGCCGCCCGAATAAGTCATCCAGGAGTGAGAAGTCCGGATTATGCTACAAACTCCGGAATTAAGGAAATCCAGTGTCTGGCAAAAGACTCAGCGATGGGATCACTGGTCTGGAATACCACTTGGAGATGGAGCAGGGGAGTCAAGGTCGATATCCTGGGTTTTGAGTAGTGAGGCTGTGATGGGAAAATGGAGGTCCGTGGGAGGGCAAGATGATGAGTTTAGGATCGTTCAAGTTGAGGTTGAAAAGAATGTGGGGTATACAAGTGGGGACACCTGAGATGAAGTGAGTAGCCAGGTCTGGTTCTCAGAAGACAGTTACGGGGCAGAGGGAGAGTTGGTAGGGAACATATCCCCTACGAGCCTCAGGTTCCTCATCTGCACAATGGGGACGTGATCTACTTCCCAGAGTTAGCATGATGATTAGATGATGTAAGATGTTGAATGTGCCGGGCACTGCACAGGCACTGCACAGGCACACAGTAGATGATTAGGGAGTTTTGGTTCTTTGTTTCAGAAGGTCTGCTGGCCCCATTTCTTACATAGTCATACCCACCAAGATCTTTGCAGATACCACTTCCTCCTTCAGGACCCACAGGACCCACATCTTCATTTTCAAAGTCCCCAGTGCAGTGATGGGCAGATGTTGCTGGAAATCGTTGTGGGAGGGGGGAATGAAGGCAGCTGCCTGGGTTATCCTACAGTGGGAAGGGAGAGAAGAGTTGGTGCTGTGGGCTGGAGAGGACTCTAGACTGGGATACTGGAGCTAGGCTACCTGCCCCAACTCTGCCAACAGCAAACAAAGAAACCTTGCCTTGTTCTAAGCTACAGTTTCTCCACTAGCTCAAGGAGGGGCCTGCCCTACTGGGCCCTTTGCTGGTTCTGTCCCTGCCTTCTCCTCACTCCCAGAAAGCCTCTTCCCTTCTCTTGACCCACAGAAGATATCACTTCCTTGAAGGCTTGGCTCACTGTGGGCCTCCTGGCAGCTCCTTCCCGGGGCGGAGGGCCAAAATCTTGACAAGATTAAGAAGAGGTTTTGGAACTGGGCCAGACTGGGAAAACAGGAAAGATGACGAACCCAACTCCCCTCCTTCGGGGGAGTTGTTTATTTCAGTTTTTCCCTCAGCTGAGTTTTCTGGATACACAGTAACCCTTGACATTCCATCCTGTGCCCAGCCTGTGACCGCACAGCACCTAATGCACCTGTCAGTCACAGAGCTCCCATGTCCGCTTGGCCAACAGCACCGAACTCCTGGAAAGCAGAAAGGACACAGATACATCTTCGCTGAGTTACCTACCACGATTCGGGGGAGAAACAGTCCTCTCACACAAGCCTCGCCAGCTCCGCGGGGTAAGCCATGTTGTTGCCATTTTCAGCCACAGAAACTGAGGCTCAGGGAAGCAATCCACGTCACCCAGTGTGTTGCCATTGCAGCCAGAAGTGGGGAGGGCTGAAAGGGAGAAGGACGCCTTGTCAGTTAAAAGCATGTTCTTTGGAGGCTGACGAACTGTGCTTGGTTTAAATTCTGACTCTGCAACTTCTTGCCTGTGGAATTCAGGCAGGTTCCTACTGGGAGGCAGTGTGGGGTAGCAGTTAAGAGCACAGGCCCTGGAATCAAATGTCAGTTCCGCCATCTGCTAGTTTCATGACCTTGGGCAAGTTCCTTTGCTTCTCTGCACCACCGTTTCCACAGCTGTAAAACAGGATAATAATAGCTCCGACCGCATAGACTTGTCATGCAGATTAAATGTGATAATCCCCGTGGAACACTTAGCACAGTGTCTGGCCCGTGGGCCGGCTGTGTATGAACGCGGACCTCGTTGACTCCAGCTCCACCTGTTCCCCAGCCCATCACCCTTCAACCTGGTGGCTCAGTCAGCCCTTGGCGTATGGTAAGTACTCGCTGGCTTGCTGACTGAAGGAGTAATTGGGAATTGAGTCAGTGTTTCTGAAAACAGGCTTCTGACAATGTGTGGGAGTAGGATTCTGAAGGAAGATTTTCAGGAGTTTCCCAACCACCCTGCAAAGGATTGCTTTTTGCACGCTAGTATGAACTTTAAAATATTTCCAGATGGCTTTTTCTTCCCTGATGGCAGAAGCAACGTATGTTCATTGTGAACTGTTCAAAATTTATGTATAGATAGAAAGCAGAGTGTCAAAGTCCTGAGTAATCCTGCTTCGAGAGAGGTGCCCACTGCTTCTCTGAGGCAGATTTTTCCTATGCCTAGTGTTTGAGCTCCGCTGTGTGTCCCACTCCGTGTTAGATACTGCGGGGCCCCCGCAGATGACTGTCTGTACGTTAGGGGCGGGCACAGTCGGGATGGGACACAGAATTTCACGGAACACTTAATCAACAATTAAAGCCACCCATCATACCGATGACTCATTTCCCAGAATACACTTAACCTTTGTGGCTCTGAGACCCGGAAATGATGAATCAAGGTCCCACCTGGCTTTGGAGTGAGAACTGGGATTGAATTTCAGCAAGGAGATCTGAGGTACTTGCCCCCTGATTGTGTGCTTGTGAACCAAGCCCCAGTAAGAGGGCAGAATGGGTGCTGGGGCCCTGCTGGCCAGAGAATAGTACTTTCTCACCTCCCTCACTGTATGTAAGGAGCTGAGCTGATGGAGCCAGCTGGGCAGGGCTGGGCTGGCCACAGGCGGTTTCTGTGACCTTGAGAAAACTGCTTCCCTTCTATGAGCCTCAAGTTCCTCATCTGAAGAGCGAGGAGAATCTTCTCACCTTGAAAGGTACATTCCACCATTCATTCATTCATTCATTCATTCAAAGAAGATGGTCTTTCCTAAGAGTGTAGGAGGATTACTGAACAAACATGGCCATCTAGGAAAAAAAGAGCTGGGTCTGGTGGTAGATTGTATTGTTGTTCAGCAAATATTTATCTCCCTCAGCCCTTCTCACTGTGGGAGGAATACACTTCCTCACTCTGTTGATGTTGGACTTAGCCATGTGACTTGCTTTGGCCAAAAGAATATGTGTGGAAGTGACAAGGGGCAGCTCCAAGACACCCAGTATCTCCATTCCCACTTCTTGAGCAGCTGTCATCGGCCATGTGAACCTGAGTCCCAGACAGTGGGGGCTCCATCAGCCTGCACTCAGAATCAGAAGACACATGAGGCAGCCCTGCACTCACCCTGCAGCCCGGAGCCCAGCCCAGCCCAGCCCAGCCCAGCCCAGCCCAGGAGAGCCCTGATGAACCCCCGCTGACCTCAGAACCCCTGGGTGAGAAATTAATACTTAACTGTTGTAAGCTCCAAGTTTCTGGAAGTCTTTTTTCCCTTTGTCCAGCTTTATTGAGATATAATTGACATACAGCACTGCATAAGTTTCAGGTGTACAATGTAATGATTTGACTTACATGCATCATGAAATGATGACCCTAATAAGTTTAGTGGACATCTGTCATCTCATATAGACACCAAATCAAAGAAGTAGAAAAAACATTTTTTCCTTGTGATGAGAACACTTTGTATTTACTCCCTTAAAATCTTTCATATTTAACTTACAGCAGGGTTAATTGTATTTGTCATGTTGTATAACACATCCCTAGTACTTATTTATCTTATAACTGGAAATTTGTATCTTTTGATTACCTTAATCCAATTCCCCCATCCCCTGCCTCTGGTAACCATAAATCTGATCTCTTTTTCTATGAGTTTGTTTGTTTGTTTTTGAAATGTAATTGACCTACAACACTGTGTTAGTTCCTATTACAACATAGTGATTCGCTATTTCTGTACATTTCAAAATGATCACCAAGATAAGGAAATGGTTTTGTATGCATCACTGTTGCAGCAAAATCTGACCCATGTGAATCTGTCACTCACTCCTTATGCTGAGATCTGAATGTTAGGAAGGAGCTTGCTATGTGGCCATCTTGGGGGGTGGGGGGAAGTGTTCCAGGCAAAGGGAACAGCAATGCCACAGTCTTGAGGCTGGAGAAGACTTGGCCTGTTCAGGAATGGAATTAAGGCCAGTGAGATGGGTTGTTTGATAAGGGAAAAAGAGAGGTCTGAGCTCCAGCCTCATGCCTTCAACAGGGCCCTTCACGTTTCCACTTGGACATCTCTCAGACACTTCAAACTCAAAACATCAGATCCAAAGCTGAACTTGTGGTCTTCTCCCATATCCATCCTTCTTTTCTTTTTTTTATTAATTCCCTCATCTCAGTCAATGACACCACCACCTACCTACCCAGTCTCCCAAACTACAAGACTGGACCTCATCCTTAACTCTTCCATCTCCCCAACCCCCCACATCCAATCTATCTTCAAGTCCTGACAATTGCACCCCGCTCACTCTCTCATATTTGTCCACTTCTCTCCACCTCTTCTGAGGTCACAACCATCTCTTGACTGAACAACAGCATCAGGCACCTCTGAGGCTTCCCCACCTGCCTTCTTAGCCTTCCTCCAATCAGCCCTCAACACAGTAGCCAGTGGTCTTATTTAAAAACAAATCATCTCTCTATAAGTGGATGAATAAACAAATTGTGGTACACCCACACAATGGAATATTACTCAGCAATAAAAAGGAATGAGCTAAGTTTTGGAGATGGATGGTAATGGTGGTCACACAACAATGTGAACTTAATTCCACTGAACTGTACACTTAGAAATGGTTAAAATGGTAAATCTTAATTATATATATTTTTATCCCCCCCACTAAATGCACAATAGAATGAGCTATCAAGCCATGAAAAAACATGGAAGGACCTTAAATGCATATTGCTAAGTGAAAGAAGCCAATCTGAAGAGGCTACATATGATTTGATTCCAACAATATAACAGTCCTGAAAAGGCAAAACTATAGAGACAGTAAAAAGACCAGTTGGGTGGGGAGGGGAGGGAAACAGGAGAGGAATAAATAGGTCAAGTATAGGGTATTTTTAGGGCAGTGAAACTGTTCTTTATGATACTGTAATTGTGAACTAATGTTGTTAGACATTTGTCAAAACCCAATGAACTGTACAACACAAAGAGTAAACTCTGATGTAAACTATGGACTTTAGTTAATAAAAAACCTCACAAAACCCAAAATAACACATCAAGTTTCATGACTCCTCTGTTTAAACCTCCAATGCCTGCTCCTCCAACCTGGCCAGGGAGTTTTTGTCCCTCCTTCCTGCCCTGGCTTACCCCTACTCATTCATAAGGGCTCAGTTTAAATGCCACCTCTTCAGAGACACCTTCCCTCACTCCCCAAGTTAGATCCAGCCCCACCTTGTTTTACCTTCCCCGTAGATTCTGTTCTTCAACTCTGCAGGATTCGCACGTGTGTCATCAGATAGTTAATTGTTTGTAGCTGTTTGCATAATGACTGTCTCTTATGCCCAATGAAGGCGGGGATCACGTTTCCTTCACCATCTTATCTCTAGCACTGAGTGAGTGCCTGGTATATAACCAAACTCTGTAAAAGTGTGGTTGATTATAGTTTGAAATAAAAGGTGACACAGTGTATAATTCCACTTATATGAAATACTGAGAATAGGTAAATCCACAGAGACAAAAAGTGGATGGGTGGTTGCCGGGGGCTGGGGAGAGGGGAGATGAGGAGTGATTGCTTAATGAGTGTGGGGTTTCCTTTTGGGGAGATGAAATTGCTTCCGAACTTGACAGAGGTGGTGGTTGGACAGCATGGTGAATGTACTAAATGCTGCTGAACTGTATACTTTAAAATGGCTCATGTAATGGTACGTGAACTTCACTTCAATCAAAAAAATTAGTTTGAACTATTAACCAATGTATTTATTTTTTTTGTACAGCCTTGTGTCCCATCATCTTTCTCAGATTCAGACTCGTACCCTTGGCCTCAGAGATGGTTTTTATAGCAGAAATGCAGAAATAATAGAAAGAAATTAACATCAGTTTTTCCCTTAAAACTTTTTATTGTACAAAATTTTAAGTGTATACAAAACTGGAATAATATAATGAACCTTCCCTGGCTTCCACAGTTGTCAACTCATGGATGAACTTATTATATACCCATCTACACCCCCGTCCCATGAGTTTGATGCAAATATCACACATCATATCATTTCACCTGTAAACATTTCCTTATGTCTCTCTGAAAGATAAGAACTTTAAACATGTAATCAGGATACCATTATTACACCTAAAAAAATCAACAACGAATTCTTAATATTGGCAAACATCCAGGGTTGAAAAACACCCAATTGTTGGATAATTTTAAAACATATGTGTTTGTTTGAATCAAGATCCAAACAAGGTTTATATATTGCATCGATTGAGATGTCTCTTAAGTCTCCTTTAATGTGTAGGTTCTTTCACTGTCTCTCTCTTTTTGTAAGTGTGGGAGGTGGAAGAGATAAGACTAGGAGAGACTTCCCCTTTCTCTGCCTTCAATTTATTTATTGAAGAAATGAGGCATTTGTGTTGCAGAGTTTCCTACAGTCTGGATTTTGCTGATGGCATCCCTGTGGTGTCATTTAACAAGCCCCCTGAACCCTTTATTTCATGTGACTAGTATCTTCATAGAGTCAGGGTTAAGTGTTTTTTTTTTTAAGCAAGAATGTTTCACAGGTGACATTGTACACCTCTACCAGGAGGCACATCACGTATGTGAATATGTCTCTCTGTGAAATTCCTAGCCATGAATGATCATGCCCTAAACCCATTGTTTTGTTACAGGTTGCAAAAGACAAAATGCGAAATTCTAATTCTTAAAAAAAAATTTCGATTTATTAGCGGAAACATATGTATCAAGAGACACTCCCTTAACCAGTTAGTTGGTTACAATGAGATTCAGTTCATATTGAAAAAGTCGAAAAAATGCTTGATTCTTTCCCTTTATTTACCAATATCCAAAATGTTGACTTGCTTCCCTAACATGCTCAAAGGTAATCCAGTGAGGTTTTCTTTTCTCCTCCTCCTCCCTTTTCTGAGTATCATTTTGAACTTCTGGATTTTAAATCTGTTTGATTTTAAACCTTATCTATGCTTAAATTGTCTCACCTTTGGTCAGCTAGAGCCTCTTCCAGTTGACTTCTGAGTCCTTTTGACACGACCTTGTAGCTTCCTTACTTTCTGGAATGACAAGATGTTTCAAGTTCATATTGTGCATTTTTTCCCCCTAGACCTTGAATAAGCCATTTCTCCAAGGAGCCCTGGTCCTTTCGTATGGGAAATGGTATTTAGATCTTTCACAATCTTTTCTCTAAGGGTGCTCATGGCTACTGCATTGGTAATTGTTTCTAGGTCTTTTCAGCGGATAGAGGTAAAAAATTTTTAAGAGGTCTTGAGTTCATGCTGATAATTTCGACTTCAATTTAGATTATAGAGTTTTTGCTTAACTTGTTTGAGTTTATCTTTGTATTTTTTTCTTATGCTGCTGTCTTAATTTCTAATGGCAACAACACTAGATTTATTTGCTTTATACTATAATGTATAAAATCATAATTTTTACTGATCATATAATTATTAAAAACCTTTTGAGATTAAAACCTTTTTTGTTGCTGCAGTTTTTGTCCTTCATCTCCATGGGAATGTACAGTCAAATTACTGTCTCTAAAGTCATTTGAAATAATTCTTCTCTGAGTGGTTATACTTTCAGCTTAATTCATAGTTTGATACATCTGTTTCATTTTGTTTCCAACTTTTACTTGAAATTCAATTTTGCTTTAATAATTCTGTGGAATAGTTATACTGGTCCATAGCCAAATCTTCAAAATAAAGTATATTCAGGTAAGTGTAGATTCTATACCTGTTCCCTTTACTCTAGTCTCCTTCTCCCACAGGTAATCATTTTTAAAGTGTTTTCTTCTTTAATAAATAAAAAGGCATATATGTGTACATATATGTAGCATACCATATATGCTTCACTCAGTAAATACAGTATGAAGTTCTCTCTCTGTCTTTAACAATATGTCAATATGTCTTTGATAATATATTCTGAAATTCATCCTATTACAATATATACAGTTAGTGCTTGTTCCCTTTGCACAGCTGCATAGTACTCCATTGAGTAAATGTACCATGATTTTTTCACGTAATCCATTATTGATGGATGTTTGGGTAGTTTCTAGCCACTTGCTACTACAAAGAGTGCAATAACAAAAGGTCTCATGCCTAATTACTCTCAGGATTTTGTAGCATATTTTTGGGATGGATTCCTAGAAGCAGTATTGCTGGGTGATGCACACGTAATATTGGTTTTCGAAGTCCTAGCCCAAGAATAATTGTCGTGTGAGCTTTTTCACACTACCTTTCTGTGCCTCAGTTTCTCATCTGCAAAATGAGAATATTAACAGTTTTTAGCTCAGAGAGTTATTGGGAAGACTAAATGGGCTGATGGTTTTAAAGCGTTTAGAACGTGCCTGGTACAGAGGAGGGGTTGAATAAATGATAACAATGGATGGAAGTACAGGAGTATGTGGGCAGGGGAGGTGGCATCAGAGGCTGGGCTGAGTCTTTGAGAAGGGATTCTGTGCCTGCCTTACCTGCCCCTGCAGGTATAGAGAACCTATATTGAGTGGCAGGAATAGCAGAACGCAGAGATGAAGTTTGGAGATTAAAGAGAGGTTGAATGAATGGGACCTGGATAATAGCTGGATGCCAGCATGGACTGTGGCCCCTCAGGCCCCAACTGTCACCTCCTCCCCCAATGCTTAGGTGCCAACTACATACTCTGACCAGTCCTGAGACTTAGATGTACCCAGAGGGGAAAGAAGGAGGAAACCCTCACTTAACTGCATTTAATCTGAATTTATTTAGAGTAAATCGCTGCCACAGGATGGACACTTGAGACAGACATTACACTCCAAGATACAAAAATAAAGTATTTTATAGATTTGTTTTACACACGTTTATGGCCTGTGAAGTTCATACCCATTTCAACATCATTATTGACTGGTAGCTTGAGGCATAAGACTAGTAGGATGTGAGGGGATGGAAGGAGAAGGAGGGGAAAAAAGAAATAGTGAGAAGTGGCTTCGTTCACCTTATACACAAGCCTAGAGCTGTGCTGTCCAGTAGGGTAGCTACTGGCCCATGTAGCTAGTGCCTACCATATTGGAAAACCTAGCTAGAGATCATTTCCTTCATTGCAGAAAGGTCCACTGGACAGTGCTGACCTATCCTAGACTCTAATGGAGCAGCTTACATGGAAATGTATTTGGATATGCATGGGGCAATAGACCCTGGTGCTGAAGGTCCCATCCTAGTAACCCCATCTCTGGTTCCCAAGGAAGTGGGCTTGACTTGGTTCTCTGAAGGTCGAGGGTAGCTGCCCACATCCACATCTGTGTCTCAGGCTCCACTCCCTCCTCCCTCCTCCCTCCTCCAGGGAGCATCTGACTGCAGCTCCTGCTCTTTGTCCCTTTCCCTCCAGCCTGTTTCCCCAAGGTTATGCCCTGCCTCATTCCCCAAGTCTCTTCCCCAGCATCCTAGCAGGCCCCAATCCAGCTTGTCTATTTGCCCTTCATCCACTGCCAAGGCTGGATGGAGGTGGCTGGGAGACTGTCTGGAGGTGGAGGCAGGCAGGGCATTCGCAGCTGGTTCCTACTTAATCTCTGCTGGCTCATGTTTCCTGTTCCTGTAGCCAGGTCTCTGGGCCTATCAGAGTGTCGTGGAAGCTGGTCCCTTCCTCCCCCACCATGTTTGCTTTTGAAAAAGGGGAAGTGGAACTTCCTCAGGGTCTGTGGGCTGGGCTGACAGCACGCTCTTGTTCTCTGTTCTCCCAGCCCTGAAACCTCAGCTTTCAGCCCTACTTATGTGCCCATGCCCACCCCACACACAGCCCTGTCTAAGGCTTCTTCCAGAATTGTAAGGCCTGGGGAGCCTGGACCCCCAGACCCAGAGGAAGCCCCCTGCTCTGCTTGGTTCTGCAGGGATAATGTGGCCACCTCATTGCTGTCCCAATTCCATTCAACAAATACTTCATCTACTCTGGGCCAGGCCCTGAGAACACTAGGGTCTAGAAGACAGCTATCCTGGTGGGAAAAACAGGCGGCAAACAAGAAAAGGGGGTCCTGGCTGAGGAGCTGGTTGGGAGGTAGATTCTAACATTGAACGGTTCTTCTGGGTTTAGAGGGAGCGGTGGGTGCCGGGAAGGAGAGAGGAGGTGTGAGGATGACATGGGCTCCGTGAAGACAGGGACTGTGGTCCTCCTGGAATCCTCAGGGCCTGGTCCAGAGCAGGAGCTCATTAAACACGAATGAATGAATTTATGAATGAATGAAGTAATGCTGACTGAGATAGGAGACAAAGCTGGGGACTTCTGAGCTGGCCTTGCCTTTCTTGTCCCTTCTGCTGCACACTGTTCCACGGGGCCTGGCCACGAAGCCAGCTCTGTCCCACTTGGATTCATCCTCAAACATTTCCTAATCACCCTCAACCTAACTCCGGCTCAGGGTGGTGATGGGTCCAGATGGCTCTATCCAGCCGGCTCCTCACTTAGCAATTTGTCGAGTGGAGACATCAAGTGGTCAGACCCTGGAATGGCAGCAGTCGAGCTGAAAACTTCGAGCCCTCAGCCAGGATGAGTCCTGATCCCGCCTCAGCTGGGTCCTCTTGACCCTGTGTCCACACTGAGCCTTATCCTGGCTGAGCCCACTTTCCAGCTCTGGGGCGAGCTCTAACTCTGGTCACAACCTGCGCCCCCAAACAGTACCCCTAATTTAAAATTTGTACTATAATGACCCGCTACAACTTCAAGAAACTTTTTATGGAAGTGTAACATACATTGAGAAAGTGCCCATATCACAAGAATTTTCAGACGAAACACATCCATGTCATCAACTCTTACTGCCAGCATCCCAGAAGCCCTTTCCCACGCCCTTCCAGTCACAACCTCCCAAGGTTAACTACTCCCCTGACTTCTAGCAGCATATATTAATTTTATCTGTTTATATTCTTCTATATTCGTTGACCCTTGAACAACACGGGTTTAAACTGCTTGGGTCCACTTACACGAGGACTGTTTTCAATAAACAGAGTACCTGTATTTTCATTTTGCAGATCTTTAAATTAACTAAGTGTGGGGAAAAGTTTGTGTTCGATTAGAGATCACAACATGTGGAATCAAGAGAACTAGGATCTGAGTCCTTCTACTCAAACTGTTTCAGTTTCCTGCCTTTGGGTGAGTCATTTATCAACTCCTTTGTTTTTGAGGCTGAAATAGAAGTACAGGGATTTTTGTCAGCATGGGGGGTCAGTGCCCCAAACCCCTGCATTGTTCAAGGGTCAAGTGTATTTGAAATCATACAGTATATATACATTTTGGCTCTGGTTTCTTTTGCTCAACATTACATTGGTGACACTCACCCATATTTCTGTGTGTACTTGTTGACAGTTCATACCCATTGGTGTTCAGGGTTTCATGAACCCACCAAGAATCTAGCCAAAGGGACTGAACTCAAGTATGATCAAGCCTTTGGATCCAGCTGCCAACTTGCAGGAAGCACAGAGGCAAAAATTTATACATCTCCCAGACACATTCACTCATAAAGGACTACTTCCGTCACTTAACTGCTTATTCTTACTAACCCTTATCTGAACAGATACTACATAGCACTTAACCTTGGAGGATTCCCTTGTTCTTACTAAACTGGCCTTCAGCCTTATACTGCAGGCCTTCATCAAGAAGAGTTATAGGACAATGGAATACTACCCAGCCACAAAAAAGAATGAAATAATGCCATTTGCAGCAACATGGATAGACCTAGAGATTATCATAGGAAGTGAAGTAAGTCAGACAGGGGAAGACATATATCATATGCTATCAACTACATGTGGAATCTAAAGAAAAAGATACAAATTTTATTTACAAACCAGAAATAGACTCATGGACATAGAATACAAACTATGATTACCAAAGGGGAAAGAGGGGGGAAAGGATAAATTAGGAGTTTGGGATTGACAGATACACACATTATATACAAAATAGATAAACAACAAGGACCTACTGTGTATAGCACAGGGAATTATATTCAATTTCTTATAATAATTTATAATGGAAAAGAATCTGAAAAAAGTATGTATAATTGAATCGCTTTGCTGTGCACGTGAAACTACCATTGTGAATCAACTACACTTCAATAAAAAAATTTAAAAAAAAGAAGAGTTATAAGAAACAGCCTTAGGAAACTGGTGTCTGGATTTACTGTCAGGATCTTGCTGAGAACAGTGTTCATTCATTTCGTCACAGTGGCCTCTTAGAGAACCCCAGGTAAATTTCTTCCACATCTTAGGACTAGGAGTAGTCATTTTCCCTGGGGGGAAACAGTCTTGCTTTCAGCTGACTCATGAATTACATGATGGATCTTGTTTCCCTCTTTACCGTGGTTGCTGAGAAGCTCAGAGTCAGATCTGTGGCCTGTGTTTTCCAGTGCCTGGACTCTGAGCTGTGCTGTCTGCACTAACCTTACTCCAGTGGCTCTTAGCCTTCCTCTTCCCATTTCCCCTCTGTCCCTATTTCTTTACCTTCCTT